CTAACAGATAAAATGACAAAAACACTCCCACCACTTGCAGTGCCAGATTCCGGCCACCACCGTCGGAATCTGGCCGAAAAATTTTGTTACAACACAGACCGGTCGGATCTGTGCCGTAACACGTCGTTATGGCATTTTCCGGCCAGATCTACGGTCTGTTATAGACGTCGATGGCCGGAAAAGGCCAAACGACTGCCAAAGATGTGGCTGTCGTTTTCGGTCAACGACGGCCATTTCTTTGGCCGTCGCTGAAGGCCAGATCTAGCATTTTCCGGCCTGATCCGTGGTGGCTTTGGCCGGAAAAGGCCACATTGGTGAACTTCCGGCCATTTCTGGTCGAAAGTTAGGCCGTTGTACAGATTCCGGCTATCACCGACGGTGGTTACCGAAATCTGACAAGTTGGGTTCATGGGGTGTTTTTGTTAATTTTTAAACTTTTTTCAGGGGGTATTTAGTGAAATTAATAACCTTATGGGGTCTAAAAGTAATTAAAAAAATAAGGTAATATTTCTGAAATAATGTGCCAAACATTATTTGGAGAATAGGATCCAGAATATAGATAAAAATACTAAGCCAAACATAGCCTTGGAAATTCGCTGAAACACTACCGGATTATGAAAACTAATCGACGACTGTGATTTACATGTAATACTGTTCAAGTCTTTGTCAGCTTCTCATGCTTCATCGAATCATCATTCACAGCAATCAATATCTTTTCCGTTTGGCTCCTTCTGAACCTCAACCCGGTAGTATCTTACCAATTTGTTTAATTTTTTAAACTTTATTATATTATCTTATCCTACTAGTAAAAAATAGTTTGTTTTAATATTGATTATTGATTTCAAAATCCAATCTTATTTTATTCAACTCAAATATTTAACAATTATCTTTCATAATTAAAGTTTATAAATTAACAAAAATATTTTCACATACTTAAGTCATTGTCGCATGTCAGCAACCATTGTCGGTTGTCACTCGTCAGCCGCTGATGTTAGAACAATACACGATTAGCTTAATTTGATCGATCATGCTTTGATCTAACCGTTTTTTGCCAAATTCACCATAGATCTGGCAGAAAATGGTCAGATCTACGGCCAGATGCATGATGGATCTAGCCGAAAAAGATCAAATTGGATGGGTGGATGTGTTTTTGTTAATTTATAAATTTTATTGTGGGGAGTGTTTTGCTAAATTAATAAATATAGGAGGTTCAAAATAATCTAAATATTTTCTAAAAATATGTCAAACACATTCTAATCCTATCTTATTTGATTTAATTATATTATATCTTATTTAGAATATCATATTTCAAAGAATGTACGAAACATGCCTAATTTCCTGTTGTCATTAATCTTTTTTCAAACTGCTTTATCATTTTGATAGCCTTTGCAATTTTAAGTTTTGTTGAAATGTCTTTTTCCCAAGTTTTTGTTAATTATTTTATTAGTTTTTACTTCTGCATAATTTATTTGCTTTGTTCAGCGCTGTTTTTCTTGAATATATTTTACTTCTGCAAATAATATTTTATAGCTCTTCAAAAATAAATCCAAGAATTGACGTGTTTAAAACAATTTCTTGAGAATAAAACTTTTTAGGTTCCTACTCTCGGTCTTACTTGATTGGCTCCAAAGGAGCTATAATGCAAAGATGAAAAGTTTATTAGAATTAATTATAACCTTTTGGAAGTTGTTGATGAGTGGACATTAAAACCTATTTGCTTATTAAATCGATTTTGATGCCTGCTTGATCAGGTTTTTTCGGTTAAAAAAAATGCGTTTGAGGCACAAATTCAATTTTTGATGTACTTTTTCATTTTTGCAAGATAAAACGATTTTTATTCTGATTTTGATTATAGTTGGAAACACCATACCATTAATGATACCGAAGATTTGTATTTACCATATTTTTTGTGTTTTGCGCTAAAAGAGGGTTAGATATTATTAACTAGTTTTCTTAAATAAATATTAAAATTATTTTTCACTTTATACATGTAATTGCAACACTTATGGATTAATTATTTTTCTTCTATATTGCTTACCTCTCTATAATACTTTTCCTTGTTCAATCCCTTAATTTCAAATAATAATTAAGGCATTATTACTACAACTAATTAAGAAGCGATTTTAAAAAACATGGTATTTAACACAATTTAAAAGAATTAATTGACCACCGTATATACAAATTCAATAATTATAAAACATGAAATAATATATATTTGAAGTACACAAAAACAGTGTTATAGGTTTTATACCAAAGGTTAACTTATTCCCTGAACCCCCGTAAAGCCGTGAACCTCACTATTAATTGCAAGATGAGTTGTCTTGTCTTAGAGAGGCAGATGACTTTTGTAAAAAGTGAGGGCAGGCTGTGGGGTCTAGCTGTAATAAAGTACTGAGAAGGTAAGGGGAGATTCCCTCAATAATTACTTTTTAATAATTTATTACTGGTTGTGGAGCCCATGTTTCTCTCTCTTAAGACCCTTTTCCCTTTTTTTTTTCTAGTTTAAAATCCGGCAAAAATGCTAATGACACCAATAAATGAATATTCTTCATTTTCCCATGCAAGGAAAATGAAAATAAAACAGAAAATCCATAAATGAACAGCACCAGTAAAAAATCAATATACAATTAAAAGATTAGAAGTTAACTATCGAGGCATCAAGCCACCAATTCATATAGTGGCCATATGGCTCGCTGGGATCTCGTTCGTTTAGCGGCCCTATATGTCATGTGTCACGAACTGGGAGTTTCACACCCAAAAGACTAATCTATTAGGTAGAAGGACTCCCCCCATTTATAAGCCCAAGACCTCCCCAATACGCTTTCAATGTGGGATTTGTTATATTTTCCCCCACCCAATCCTGTGACGCCCTTGTCACAGGTGAGGCCCCCTGCCTACCCATCCACCTCACTCTCGTGTGGACCCATAATCACACGTGAACGCCTCTGTGTGCGCGCTTGACGGGACATCGAAAGACGGATTGGGTCTGCTCTGATACCACTTGTCACGGGCTGGGAGTTTCACACCCAAAAGGCTAACCTATTAGGTGGAGGGACTCCCCCCAATTTATAAGCCCAAGACCTCCCCAATACGCTTTCAATGTGGGATTTGTTACACATGTCAGGCCTACCATGGTCATCGTGGCCCCGCTACGGCCAAGGCTGCTGGCTAGCTACATGGTTGTTGGCTACGTTCACAATTTTATGGATGCATTAACTTTTTTAATTTTTCGATTTTCTTAAAAGGTTTTTCTATATTCTTAAGAAGCATTAACTTTTTTATCATTTTTTTAATTGATACGTTCACAATTTTATGGATTCTTTTTTAAATTATTTGACTTACAAATTTTATATTGTAAACTTACATTCATACCCTTATCTATGTTTAAAGTTAACAGTTTTTCACTGTTAATTATTTATTTTTGAAAGAAAATAAAAATTATGTCCTTCTAACTCCAAATGCAACTTTTAGTGAGACTTCATACTTTATATATGTATATTCAGTTAATTTACGTATATCTCAACTAATTCATTTAGGGTCTTAAAGTTAACGGTCAAGTAAACCTATAGTGACTCACCCTTATTAGTAGTTGTAGGGATACAAACTTAATCTTACTAAGTTGGGTCCAATGAATTTGTAAAGACATTTCAATAGTAAGGGTAAATGGTCACTATATTCTTTTTTCTTGTGAACGGAATATTTACTAAATCTTGTAGGTGGGACAATATGTTTTCCCAACCCTTTTTTTCTTTGTCTTTTACAATCAACTTTATTAAAGAGAAATTATATTTGACCCCACTGTTGCCTCACTATATTCTTTTATCATTTCAAAATATACCATATACAGTGTAAATTTATATCTAGGTGATCATCCTAAACTATATACTGAACTTTCTTTTATTGCAATTTAAAACTTTGATTTACAAGACATGTATTATAAAATAATAATAATTTTTCTAAACAAAATATTTATGACTTGCATAAGTCAGATTTGTTTTATTATTACTATTCCTTATCTTGATTTGTTATTTTATTATACAAGTTTATTTATTTTTCTTATGCACTATACCTTATGCTTGAAGGTTTATCTTTTTCGTATAATATTTTTTCTGTTTAATGCAAGAGGAGTACCACAATTATTATTAGTTTTGGAATGAAAATGTTAAGGAGGAGGTGGAAGAGAATGAAAATGTTTTGGAATTTCTGAAACCCGGAATTATGAAGTTGGTGAAAGGGAATTGTATTAAGTCATTTCCAGAGGACTAATTATACTGTCTGCCTACTTTTGACTATTTTGAAAGCATTCCATTTCTTTCAAAGTGAATTGTCGGCATTGCCACCTTCTTTTTGACTTGCTTTTTTTTTTTTTTTTTTTTTAAATAAATATTTGGCAGAAGAGAGTGGAGAAAAATAGTTTTGAGTGTTGAATATATCATTTCTTCCAATCTTTGTTGGTCCTAACTCACCCAGAAGAAAAGCAAACATAGCACTCTGGTCTTGAACACAGCTCTTACAAAACATAGCGATTGAGGTGCCATTTCCTTAAACTTCAAAAGCCAATTCCGTTGAGTACTCTTTAACTATTATTAATTTTCTGTCATTTTATTAGCCTTGCTTTGTATCCAGTATCCATTACTATATTCAAACCAAAAAAAAAAAAAAAAAAAAAAATTTTGTTCATCGAGCTTTTTCTCATAAACACATTAGTTTCTGCTGTGTTTTCAATATTATTAATTTTCTGTCATATTACTAGCTTTGCTTTACATTCAGTATCAAACATTGTTTTCAACTTCTCTTAATCTTTTTTTTGATATTATTCCCCATATTTCTCGTATCTGCCTTTTTTTTTAAAAAAAAAAAAACATTAGTTTTAGAATTTTTTTGATCTCATAAACATTTCTAGTGTATCTCTTTTTTCAGTATTTCTTTTTTCTTGTCCTCCTAAAGTAACGTTTGTCAGTGGCTTTCCTTATTTAAAGCAAAAAGAAAAGAAAAAAAAAAAAATAATGGCTGAAATAGCTACTGCTGCTGGTTCCAAAGCTGCAGAACAAGTAACAGAAACTATGTATGATTTCATTTGTCAGAAGATTTCCTATGTGTTCAAGTACCAGAAGTATATGGAGAAGGCAAAGGAACAAGTTGAGAAGGTCAAAATTCGAAAACAAGATGTGGAAGCAGATGTTGATGTTGCTGAAAGACAAGGGGAAGAGATTTACAATGAAGTCAAAGACTGGCTGAGGGGCGTGGAAGGTTTCATGGAACGTGAAGTAAAGCTCGTTGATGATGAAGATATAGCAAAGAGGCGTTGTTTCAAAGGGCTGTGTCCTGATTTGATGAAACGATACAGGCTCAGCAAGGATGCAGAGCAGGTGGCAGAGGATGGAGCCAAGCTCTTTGAAAAAGGAAAATTCAGTGGAGTTTCCCACCACGTTATTCTACAGAGGACGGAATCCATATTTGTCGGTGAGGGGTACGAGCACTTTCACTCCAGAGAGTCCAATTTCAACGATATCATGGAGGCATTGAAGGATTCTACTGTTAACATGATTGGAGTGTACGGGATGGGTGGTGTGGGCAAAACCACACTGGTCAGAACAGTTGCTTGGAAAGCAAAGGAAGATAATTTATTTGATGTGGTGGTCTTTGCTGAGGTAAAACAAAATCCGAATCTTAAACAAATTCAAGCTGACATTGCTGGTCAATTGGGCATGGTACTTAGAGACCAGGAGAGTCTATCTGGAAGAGCTGATCAATTACGTTATAGGTTGAAGAAAGCCAAGAGAATCATTGTAATTGTAGATAATATCTGGAAGAAGCTTGACTTGAAGGTTGTTGGGATTCCTTTTGGCTATGATGATAAAGGTAGCATCCAGCAAGACAAGAAAGAAAGCAACAATGAGCAAGAGCGATGCACAATATTGTTAACAGCTAGAACACAAGTTGTATTAAAACAAATGAATACTCATAGGAATGTATTTGTTGAGCCTTTGGGTGATGATGATGCAAGAAATTGGTTTGGGAACATTGCTGGTGATTTAACAGATAAAAGTGATATAGCAGCTGAAATAATTGAAAAATGTGCAGGTTTACCACTTGCAATTACAATAATTGCAAAGGCTTTGAAAGGTAAGAGTGATTCTGTCTGGAGGGATGCGTTACGTCAGTTAGAAAATTCTAATACAAGATGTGTTCCAGAAATGGATAACACTTTATACTCAACTATTGAATTGAGTTATGAATTGTTGAACAGTGAAGAAGCAAAATCATTGCTTCTACTTTGTGCTCTGCTTGTTGTGGCGGGTCATGATGTACCCATGATGTACTTGCTGGGATATGGTATGGGGTTGGGCTTGTTTCAAGATGTTCATACGATTAACGACGGGAGGAATAGAGTCAAGTCGCTGATTGATTATCTCGCAGATTCGTGTTTGTTGTTGAAAGGCAACAATAACGAGAAGGTCAAAATGCATGACGTCATTCATCTTGTTGTTGCATCAATTGCCAAAGAGAAACGTTGGCTTAGTATTCCAAATGCTAATGGGTTTAAAGAAGTGTTGGCGAAGGGAAAGTACAAAGATTCGGTTGCAATTATTCTGCCTGGGATAGACATTGATGGGCTTCCTGAAAGGGTAAACTTTCCAAACCTTGAGTTATTTACTTCGTATCTTAAAGAAGATCATTTTCTACAAATCCCAAACCACTTTTTTGAAGGCATGAAGGAACTCAAAGTTCTAGATTTGGATGAAGCTCATTTATTACCACTACCCTCATCCTTTCTTTGCCTAACAAACCTTCAAATGTTGCGTCTGGGGAATTGCACTTTAGGAGATATAACAATGATAGGAGAGCTAAGGAATTTAGAGATTCTTGCTTTTCTAAATTGTGAATTCGAACAATTGCCTGAAAGTTTTAGACAATTGACGCAGCTAAAGTTATTACAACTGACCGATTGTCCAAAGCTTAAAGTAATCACACCAAATGTCATAGCCAACTTGTCTCGATTAGAAGAGCTACGTATATATAATAGCTTTGAGCGATGGGAGGTTGAAGGACGGAATAACGCTAGTCTTGCTGAGTTGAAGAGATTGTCTCAATTGAACACTTTATGCATACATATCCCGAATTTGCAGCTTATACAGCGGGACTTTATCCCTGAGAATTTAGAAAAGTATACAGTACATATTGGAGATGCATGGGAGTGGGCTTATGAATATGAACCCTCGAGAACATTGAGACTCAAGGTCAATGGAAGTCTTCATTTGACATATGGGGTTGAAATTTTGGTGGAGAAAGCTAAATATCTATATCTAGATCAACTAGATGGTGTTAAGGATATACTTTGGGAACTTGACAGAGAAGGTTTCCCACAATTAAAGCATCTCTCTGTACAAAGTAGTTCTGAAGTTTTGTATATTGTCAACTCAATAGGGTGCGTTCCTTCTAATCATGGCTTTCCAATCTTAGAATCATTGTTTCTTGTTAATCTAAGTAATATGGAGAAGATATGTTGCGGCCTAGTCGGTGCAAAGTCTTTCAGCAAATTAAGAATCTTAAAAGTAAAAAATTGTAATAGGTTAAGGTATCTTTTCTCTTCCTCCATGGCTGGAAACATCTCACAGATACAAAAAATCAAAGTAACTTATTGCGAGAAGTTAAAGGAGATTTTTGGTAAAGAAAGCGAAGACCATGTCGATGAAAACGAAAGGAACAGTGAGATTGAGTTTACGCAATTGCATTCCCTAGTACTACAATGCTTGCCGCAGTTCATAAGTTTTGGCTTGAAGGTATGTTTTGCCTTTTCTTTTCCGTTTTATTTTATTTTACTGTAAAATTATGTGTTCTTTTATTAGTTTCTACGTTATTTATGGAATGAGATTTGTTTATGCAGGTTGTGTTGCCAAGATTGGAGAACTTGAAAATATCCTCAATTAATATTGAGAACATATGGGTTGATCAACCTCAACCAATGTCTTCCTATATGCAATGCTTAAAAAGCTTATATGTGGGGGAGTGTAATAGTTTGAAGTATATCTTTTTATCCTCTATGGTCAAATGTCTTGTGCAACTTCAAAAGCTTGTGATATGCTACTGTAAGTCGATGGAAGCATTAATATTTGACTCAGAAGGGTTAGAAGGAGAAGATAAGATAATTGAGATGAGTTTTCCAAAACTATTCCACCTAAAGCTTGCAAGTCTTCCAAAACTCACAAGATTTGGCACCAGAAATTCAATTGAATTCCCCACCTTGAATGAACTTCACATTGAGAGTTGCTCTAATTTGAAGATAATTGATATGAGTTTTCCAAATCTTGAAACATTGGAAATAAGAAGTTGTGATTCACTGAAAGAAGTGTTCAATATGGAACGACAGCTAAATGCTGATAGACATACATTGAAGAAAAGTCATCAAGAAGTTGTGGACTTCAACAACTTGAAATCCTTTGAAGTTCACAATTGTTGTAGCTTGAGACATATATTTACTCCATCTATCATTTTGGGTCTTGCTCAACTGAAATAGATAAAAGTAACAAACTGTGCTTCGATAGAAGAAATTATCTCGAAAGAAGAAGAAAAGGAAGCAGACATTGAGAAAATTATGGTACCCCAATTGAACTCCATTATTCTTGAGTCGTTGCCTAACTTGACAAGCTTCTATTCAGAAATGAATACTTTGGAATGTCCTGCCTTGAAAGCTATTACAGTGGCCAAGTGTCCACAGATTGAGACATTTGTTTTTGCTGATATAAAGCACCAATCTGACCATATTGTGCCCCTTCTTAGTGAAAAGGTTTGTATGATTGAAACTCTTTCATCACTGTTTTAATTTTATTATCTTTATAATAATCTATGTTACTATCATCATCCACAGTTATTAGAAATTCAATTATCATGCATAGTTGAAAATAATATACTTTTTTTTTAGTGGTTTTTAAGAAGACAAAATCTTTTTGTTGAATTTAATAACATTAAAATTATTATTTACAATATATTTTGGAAAGCTTACCTCGAGATGTTTATTGTGGGTTGTTTTTCCAAGCTTAGAGAAGCTGTTTCTCTCACACCTGCATAACTTACACTTGATATGGCACAACCAACTCCTTGCAGATTCCTTTGGCAAACTAAAAGAAGTGACAATTGAATTTTGTGAAAAATTAATGACTATTGTTCCAGCTAATAATAGTCAAGGACTTCTTACCTTTCACAATCTAGAATCATTACATGTTGAGAAGTGTTGGAGTTTGAAAAGTCTATTTCCAGTTTCCACAGCTACTGGTCTAGTGAAACTTAAAAAGTTGAGTATATATTCTTGTGAGTTGGAGGAAATTGTTGCTAATGAAGAAGTAGAAGGGGCCCCTTCCCTTGATTTGTCTGGAAAGGTATGAATTTATCTATACTTTTTATAAAATGTAACATAATCATTTAGATTAATATGACATGTTCATGATACCAATTCTGTGGCATTGCTACTAATTATCTTACAATTGAGGTGATATATGTATTTTGTGTTGCATACTTGCCTGTAAAAGATAGTCACCAACTGAAGTTTTTTCCCTTTTCAAATCGAATGGCAGTAAACTAAGTGGTTGGTCTTGTTTCATTGATTAGATATATTGATTTTTGTGAATTAAGAATTTCATTTTTGTTAACTTACGTATTTTTTATTGTTTAAAGTATATTTATTTAAAACATATAATTAATTTAATTAATTGGGGAAGTTAAAAATTTGACTGATTTTGTACTGAATACAAGTTCCTTTTTCAAATTTGTCTCTTCCTAATACAATTAGTTTTTTTTTTTTTTTTTTTTTTTTTGTTTGTAAATCAAAAAAATTTGGTCACGTAGTTCTGTTTGTTAAAAATTAATCAAAAGAACTGACTTCTTTTTGGTCAATAACATGACATTGATATCGTATGTAAAAATCTTATTATATGTGTTTACCATATGCTCATTAAAACCTTCTTGCTTGTTCATCCATTTTGACTTACAGGTCATGCCCAATTTGGAATCATTGTATTTAAATGTCGATGCCTTTAGACTGCAAACTAAAAGACCATTGGAGGGATTCTGCAGACTAAAAGAACTTCAGCTGGGTGAATTAAATGATGAATCAATTCCCTTTTTCTATGGCTTCCTCAAAAGGTTATACAGTTTGGAAATCCTTGCTCTATGTGATAGTAGGTCCAAAAAGCTATGCCTACATGAAAGAGACGCAACAAAAGAAGATTCTCAAGTGCATCCATTTCTTCCGCATCTTAGAGACTTGAGAATATGGAGATGTCATGATTTGACACATTTATGGACGTCCTCAGTATCTTTTACAAATCTTACAACTCTAGATGTATGGGATTGCAATGGATTGGTAAACATACTTACATGCTCAACTGTCAAATCTCTTTTCCAACTTACAAAAATGACAATAAATAAATGCGAGTTATTGAGAGAAGTAATAGTGGGTGAATTTGACGAGATAGAAGAAGGGATTGTTTTTTGCCAATTGAAAACTTTGCAGCTTCTTGATTTATCAAGCCTCGCATGCTTTTGCTCAACAACTTGTGCCTTCAAATTCCCATGCTTGGAACAAGTAACTGTGAGTGAATGTCCAAAATTGAAGATCTTTACTCAAGGAAGTTTAAGCACACCAAATTTAAACAAGGTGCAAAGAGAACAAATGCCTAAGAAATATGTTTGGAAGGATGATCTGAATTCCACCATCCAACAAATATTTAGAGAGATGGTACGTACTTACTCACAAAATCTTCTTATTTTCTTTACCACCTGTGCTATTAATATTAGTATACATGTCTTTACTACTATTAAAGTGGAGCAGATAAGATATGATTGTATAATTTATAATACTATTTCATATTTGATGTATAATTAGACTAAATTATAAACACTGTTGAATTGATATTGATAATAGTATAAATATATATTAATTAAAAACTTATTTTATAAATATTTATCTGTATAATATATTATAATTAAATTCCAATCCCCCTTAATAAATATGGGTTAAATTAAATAAAACCAATCCTTTATCTTTATCACGCTAAAAGCCGCCACATTTCATCTTCTTCAACTCTTCACTGCTACAGTCACAAGAAGCCAGCTCAAGCGGCACTGGTCTTTCTAGCTAACGATGTCACAAGCCACAGAACCACCTTCACCGGCGTCACTGATTCTAGCACTCTCCGTCACAAGCGGCAGGTAAGCAAAATCATTCTGCTCGACTTTTGAACTAGATTTTAAGAGTGAAGGCTATAATCGTGATTTGGTATTTTTGTTTTAGGACTCAAACTTCGTTTAGTTGTGATTTTGATAATTATATTATCTGAAGCTTCAGTTTGATGTTTGATATTTTTGTATATAAGACCTGTAAATGTTTTTGATTGATCAAGTTAAGTGATGTTGCAGAGTTGTTTGATAAAATGTTTGAAAGAGATGCATTTTGTTCAACATAATGTTACATGGAAGATTTTTTAATTAAATTCATATAATTAAGACATGAATTGAAATTATTTAATAAAACAAAATTATTTCTTTGTACTCCAATACAGAATCGATCATCAATTTCATTTTATTTATAACAAAAGGAGGCAGATCTAGTTGTATAGAATAAGGCTTTGAATGGGGATAAATAGCAGCCATCACAGGTAAGGAATATGGCTTTTATTTTATTTTTCAATTCTAGTGTAAGACATGGACGCCTACTTTTACTTTATTTTATTTTCCTTGATAAAGTGTGATAACCAAATTAATGTTATCAGTTTGATTTATTTCTTTTGACTATATCAAAAGCACTTTGTTGCCTGCATATTCAGGATGATGATAATCAACAAAGGAACAAGATCCAAATGGGAGTGGGAGGCAACAAGACAGCTATGGTTGTGTTGGGGTTCCAGCAGGAAGGCTATCCCCAGGGAGGGCTAACCATTCTAGTGCTGCTCAGGTATGAGCTAAAGTATTTTTTAGATTTTTTTTTTTTGCCTTAAGTTTCTTCAAATTTCCTCATTGTCCTTTTGTTTATTTCAGGATGGCTTCAACAAGCTTCATGATTTGGAGAGTTCACTTGCTTCATTTCCTGTCAAACCATTTGCAAGCACTTAAGTAATGATTAAATATTTCTTTCCCTTCTTCAGTTGCTAACGACTTCATCAATATCATTAACTGTCTTCCAGGGTCGTGAAATGTATTTTCGAGAAGTTTTCCGTTTGAAATTGTTTGTGAATTGAGTGGAATGGAAAAACAAATGCTGACTAAAGAAACTTTTATTCCGCTATTCATTTTTGATATTTTCTAATCATTAATATTGTTATGCATTTGTGAAATATAGTGCAAATGAGAAAACCTGTAATTATTTTTTCCCTTTATTGATGCAGATAGTTTTGATATTGCTGAGGATGATGAGGGTACAACTAGTCCTAGTTAGAAGGTTACTGCTCAATTAAATCTTGAGCAACAGTTTCTTACAAAGACTTAGCAGGGGCCTTGGACCAAGAAACTGGAAGGAGTGATGGTGAGAATTCAGGGAAAACTATCTCTCCATGTCATGCCATTTCTGAGGATAAAAGGTTTTTGAGTGGTTCACTAATGCTCATTAATGCTCATTAATGCTTTTTCTCTTAAGAAAGTTACATGTGAAGGGTACAGGTAATCTTGATTGTAATTGTAGTTATATTTTCTCTTATCGTGCTTTTTTTTTTTTTTTTTTTTTTTTTAAATCCAATAGGTTGTAAATATGAATTATAAAAAATTAGCTATAATACTGTTCAATATATGCTATATAGCTTTTTTCTCAATTTACCTGAATATTAAATTTTGACATGTTCTGATTCTCTACAGCCAAAAAAATAATCCAAGTGGAACTATAGTGGCCCATTGTTATATTGCCGGAGGAGAAAGGCAAATAATTTTCAGGTATTTCTGTTGTGATTTATTTGCTTTATAATTTCTTTCTATCTAAATTAGAGGCATTATTACTTGCTTTATACTTTATAATTAATCTTCTATTACTGTGTTGCATCTGGTTAAGCAGCAGAGGATACATCAGGAGCAATGGTCCAACACAAGGGACATGTTAAAGTTCCTTAAGCCGATCTGAGCCCCGAGGTATATTTGCAGTAGCGGGCTGTAATCTAAGTTCAAGACGACTTATACGTTAGTTGATATTGAAGTGATCCATTAGTGTCGTGTTGCTTTCTAAAGAAATTCAAGGTCTTAATACATATGATTATTAGTTATGTACATGTTATTTTAATGGTCTTTAATTAGGATAATAACAGAAGAAAAAAAGAAGAAGCAATAAATGGCTAATTTTACCCTATCACCTATAAAATCGCAAGGCAGTCCATGACAATAAGAATGATGGTTAATTTTACTGAATGGATATTATGGGGTTCGCAAGAGTATTCTACTCTTTAGTTATCCTTCTGATGCTTTTGAGGAGTTGGCAAATTTATTATTATTATTTTTTTTTATTTTGTGGCAAGAGCATTTGGTTGAGTTTCACTTTTGGCTAAAATATCTTTATTTTGTGATATTATCTATTAAGATCATAGTGTGATATATATTTTAGCAAACTATAAATGTTATTGATAAAATCTAATTTTAGCTGTATTAATTTTAATTGAATCATCTCTTAAGAATAAGCTAAAATAAAGTCACCAACTTGGCCTTGGTTGTTCTTCTTCTATAATGTTAATTTTCTCTCTTGTCTCATTCTCGAATTAATAACTTACTCCCATGAACCATTTTCTTAAACATAAATCACTGGAATTGTCATGGTTGATCTCCGAATAAACTAGGCATTTAGTGGTCAGAAAATTCATTGCATTTTAAGTGTGTTGCCCATGGTTTTGCTTTTGTTGACTATGCTGCTCTAATGTTCTGGGTTAGGTCCATCAAGGATGATGCTTCATTTGCTGCCTAGGGGCTTTATTGATGCAAAGTATGCTTTTCTGTTCTATTATTCTTTTAACAAATTCAACTTTACTGTTAAATTTGACAAATTCTACCATTCATTTACGCATTAGCAGGTGAGATTTATATCTATATTTTTGACTATTTAGATATATATCTCTTGAAATTTTGATCTGTAATTTCATTTTACACAACTATATATATATATATATCTATATATTTATATTTGACGATCACAATTTAATTTTTACTCACTAAATCTAGATTGGTGCGATCAATTTTTTTTTTTCCTGACATACATGGTATGAAATTTTTGGTTTGGATTTCATGTTTTTAATGTATTGCAGCATCTCGAACACTCCTAATAAAGGGCATATGCAAACTAACTATTGCTAAGCAACTTTGAAATGCAAGATCCTTTTTGGATATTCTTTATTAAGTTCAATTGTTGAAAAATTATTTGGAAAAAATTATGTTATCTTGATCTCGAAATCTGTTTACCTTGCAGCAAGAGTGCCTAAGAAGAATAAGTGCCTGCAATTCCAGCCTTGAGTAAGTAGTTTCAGTTGTCAATTCTTGTGATCGGTTTAATAGGCATTTTCTTTTATGGTTCATATTCCGGATTGGGTTCGTCCTTGTAGTAATCGGATGAATTTCGTTATAGACATGAAAGCGTAAGAACTTGACGGGGCCTATCACTTATTTCTTTGTCTGATTCGAGGGGTAGGGCCCCGTTGAGTTCTTAATAATCATAATATTCTGTTTTGTTCGTATAATTTCTTTTTATTTTATTTCCTTACTGTTTCATTGATGTAAAACTTGCGTTCTTGTTTTGACAATATTAAAAGCACTGTGTTGCCTAGATATTCAGGATGATGATATACAGCAAATGGACAAGATCCAAATGGAAGCGGAAGGCAAAGAGACAGCTAAGATTGTTTTGGGTTTGGGGTTCCAGCAGGAAGTCTATCCCCACAGAGGTCTAACCATTCAAGTGTCTCCAAGTCAGGAGGTAGTAATTTCTAGATTGTTTTTTTTGCCTTAAATTGTCATCAGATTTCCTCATTTTCCTTTTGCTTGTTTTAGGATGGCTTCAACAATCTTCATGATTTGGAGAGTTCATTTGCTTCATTTCCTATCAAATCATTGCAAGCACTTAAGTAAGGATAATTTCTGTCTCATCTTCATTGCTAACAGCTTCATCAATATCATAAGTGTCTTCCAGGGTAGCGGAATTTATTTTCCAGAAATTTTCAGTTTGAATTTGTTTGTAAAATTGAGTTGAATGGAAAAACAGATGCTGACTTAAGAAACTTTTTTTCCCCACTTCATTCTTGTTCTTTTCTAATCATTACTATTCTTATGCATTTGTGTAATACAAATGCAAATTAGAAAAAAAGAAAGCATTTTCTTCCCTGTAATTATTTTTTCCCTTTATTGATGTAGAGGTTATTTTGATATTGGTGAGGATGATGAGGGTTCAAGCAATCCTTGGTCATTTTCTTTTAAAACCAAGAAAGTGGAAGGAGTGAGAGTGGGAATTCCGGGAAAACTAGCTTTTTACCATGTCATCACATTCTGCAAGTTTTTTCCAAATTGATCAGAATTCTTAGATATATTATTTAGCTTCTTTAGATAATTGTTCTCGAAAATTAGAGTAAAACCTCCTAAAAAATATTGGCTGCTTGTTCTTGAATAATGCAATTCTTAGATTCAATGATTCATAAGGAATTAGTCTTTCAGTGTTTTTCCATGTGTCACATCTTTATTTGTGAATGTGCTCTGTAAATTTGCTCATGTGAGTTGTGCAACTCACTCTTCTTTTTATGGATACATAATATAGTTTTACTGAGACACTTTAAGCTCTTTGACCCATGCCGCCTTCAATTTTTGACCCAGTGGAAAGCATGATGTAAACTTGGGACAAAATATTATTGGGTTGCTTTGAACCTATGTTGCACGAAATGCCAGCTTAAAAATTCCAGGACAGAAATATTAACATTAGAACAAGATATGGTTTTTGGTGGTGACACATGATACACCACATCAAAATGTCTTCTTTATATCAAAAGCCTACCTGCTATTGTGATGTCTAAACAAAAGTATACACTGATTAGTTGGGTTTTTTTTTTTTTTTTTTTTTTTTTTTTTTTACATTATACCTTTTTTTTCTTTCCATACACGAGTGAAAAGCTTTGACTATGTTTACTAAATAAGTTTGGTCTATTGAAATTATTTTGAGGGGATTCTCTACAGCCAAAAAATACTCCGAGGGGAACTATAATGGCTCATTCTTGTATCACAACAGGACAGATGCAAGTAACTTTCAGGTATTTCTGTTGTGATTTATTTGCTTTATAATTTCTTACTATCTAAATTAAAGGCATTTTTACTTGCTTCATACTTTATGATGAATCTTGTATTACTTTGTTGCATCCGTTTATGCAGCAGAGGATACATCAGGAGCAGTGTCCAACACAAGGGACGCTTTAAAGTTACTTAAGCAGATCTGAGCCCCAAGGTATTTTTGCATTAGCGGGAGTTGATTTTGAAGTGATCTTTTAAGTGTCATGTTGCTTCCTAAAGAAATTCAAGGTGATCTTAACATATACAATTATCAGTTTTATCATAGCTAGTACATGCTATTTTATGGTCATTAATCTGATGAGGATAATAACAGAAGTAAAATAGATAAATAAATAAATGGTTAATTTAATCCTATTACCTATCAAATTGCAAGGCAGTCCGTGAAAATGAGAAATGATGATGAATTTTACTGAGCTTGAGTTTTTCTTTTGAGCTTGTGTAGTCTAGCTTCTGATGCTTATGAAGAGTTGGCAAATTTTTTTTTTTTTTTTTTTTTCTGGCAAGAGCATTTGGCTGAGTTTCACTTTTGTCAATAATATTATAAATGTTTATTGGTGAAATCTAATTTTAGCTTTATTAATGTTAATGGAGTTAAATCCTTTGAATGCTTAATGAAGCTAAGACCTACTTGCCTAGATAATGCGATTTTAGCTGGCCTTGGTTGTCCTTATTCTATAATATTAATTTTCTCTCTTTTGTCTCATTCTCCAATTAATATCTGACTCCCATAAACCAGTTTCTTAAACATAAATCACTGGAATTTTCAAGGTCGATCTCATAACGATCCTAGCTATTTAGAATCTAGAAAATTCATTGTATTTTAAGTTTGTTGCATTATATTGTTTTTTTCATGGGAACTATAGGCTGACTAATGATTTGGCTCTCCATGGTTTTGCTTTTGTTGATTGTGCTACTCTTAAGGTTTTGGGTTGGCTCCATCAAGCATGATGCTTCATGTGCTGCTTTGGGGCTTTATTGATGTAAGTATGCTCTTATGTTCTATCGTTCTTTTGGCAAATTCAATTATACTACCTAATTTGAGAAATTCTATTGTTCAACTACTCATTAGCGGTTGAGATTTATATCTACATTTCTGACTATTTAGATATCTCGTGAAATTTTGATGTGTAATTTCGTTTTACACAACTGTACAAATATATTGTTGATGGTAGTTTTTCAATGTAGTGTGAGAACATATGCTTCCATTGTAAACCATCACATAGAGCTTGGTAATCTCATCGTAGAGAAATCTCTGTTGTCCTTTGAGTGTGGTCTTCAGAGGAGATTGCTAGTCACCTTTGATATGGTATCCATTAGGTAAGGAATCCAAAATATCATTCAGAATCCTATTATGTACTCTTTTTTCTTGATTCATGATCTAATGAGGATTTTCTCTTTAATGCACTAGATTTTATTTGCTGAGGACACGCTTGTACTCTATCGACTCATGACTTTCCCTTGGACTATCATGGCCATGACATATCTAAGTAACTTGATTGTGCTCCTAGAGTTACACTCTACTCGTATAGTAATACTCTCCTCCATGAGCAAGAGTTACCTTTGCTCATAGGTTACTTTACTCTAGAGCATTTTACTGGTGAGTTAACCTTACTCATGAACCATTTGATTCTGGATTTTTTTCAAAGTGATAAAGATATAATTTAAGGTATAACATATATCATATTTTGACAATCACAATTTAATTTCTAGCACGTGGGAATCCAAGATTGGTTCCATCAATTTTTTTGTTTCTGGCATGGTATGAAATTTGTTTGGTTTTAACATCGTGTTTTTAATTTAACTGCAGCAATCTCCAGACAATGTCCTAATAAATTGGGGCATAAGCAAAGTAACAATTGGTAAGTTTGAAATGCAAGGTACTTTCATGATTTTTTTCTTTTCATCCAGTTCATTTTGAAAAATTATTTCTTGAAATGAAAATGAAAAATGAGATTTTGCATTTCTTAAACCAAGAACTGATTCAATATCGTGTTCAAAACAATATTTTAAGAATAATAGATTTTAGGTTTCTACTCTAGGTATTACATGATTGACTCCAAAGGCTATAATGCACAGATGAAAAGTTTTTAGGTTTCTACTCTGGGTAATTTTAATTTTTTAGTTTAGTGTCTAAGATAAATTGAAGCAAGAAATGTGGTAGAATCAGAAGGAATTTTATTTGACTTTCGTTGCTTAATGAAAAAAAGATTTAAGAAAGTTAGGATATTACTATTCACATAAAATTATGGCAAGAATTTAAGAATAGAGTCGATCAGGTGCAACAAAATATGAGAATGTTGGCAAACACTGAACACAGAATTTAACTTGTAAGTTGGTTGCTTTCTTTGTTTTGTAATGTATGTAAATTCCTTGAGTATTGTTGATTATATGTTTAAGGTGAAAGACAGTAGTCTATAATGAAGAATACAGAGGAGGAAGAATGAACTCTCTTAGATCTTAGAAATGAATAAAGGTTGAATTAGTCTGGTACCTCACTTCATTCTAATGGGCTAGTTAGATTTTTACAAAATAAATTTAGTGTTAAATTGTTAATAACTTGGGCTGAGCCAACTGAACAGTCTAAACTATGTATGTAATATGAATTCTGATACGCCTCCTATAACCAAAGTGTACAAAAAGAAGAAGAAAAAGGGCAACCTGGTCATTTCAGTGGACAAGGGCAGCAAGGGGAATTCAGATTAGAATTAGTTAAGGGGTATCTCCACGTAAGGGAGTGCAGAAAGTGTGAATTCAGTTATATATAAAGAGAGCAGTAGCTAGCTGTAAAAAGGGGAGGAAAAACCAGGGAAATGTTGGGAGGTGCTAGACCCTCGAAGTGCTAGCAATCTTTTTATCTTTGTTATCGCTTTGTTATCATTTTTGCCATTGTTGCTATCACCTGCTGCTTGCAGAGTTCATTTATTTTAATTCTCTATATATATAAATCAGTGGTTGCAGTGACAGAGTGTGTTTCTGAGTTTTTATTACAATATACTGTTGTGTTTGGACTGGTGTTCTCATCAAATTCTCAGTGTTGATATATCAAAATGTTGTTAAACACTCCTTGAAACTAAACATTTATTTTGATAATATCTTATGGATTTGCATATTGCAGTTTTAAAGTTATTCTGGTGTTGGCCTCTGTTTCATAACAGGGCCCACCATACTGCAGAAAAAGTCTATTTCAATTTTATCAAGTTTAACTCTTTGGAAACCGAGCAGCTATCTACTTTTTATTAAATATTCCAGTTGGTTTTTTGTTTATGATGGACAGGTAGCTGTTCTTCTAATCTGAAATAGATCACGATTTGAATGATGAATTCCTGGAGTTATTTTGCAGAGTTGGACTTTAAAAGTTATTTTGGTAAGAGAAATCAGCATATATAATTGTTGTGTCGTTATTGAAGATTTGTTGGATTTGTCTCACCAAATGTTGTGATTTATTGTTGGCCTCCTACAGTTGCAATATATTGAAGGTTTCTGCTGTTGCTTTCAGAAACTTTTTGAGTGGTTATCGAAAATTTCAAATGTTGAGATTTTGGCTGCTGCAGAGTCATGGGAATGTTGTGAAATTCTGTTGAAGCCTTTCAAAGGTTATGATTCACAAACCTATTCGCAAACCTATTAGCATTGTTTGTAGTTTTGTGCAGAAGATGAGCTAATATTTCATGTTACTGATGTTGCTCATAATATTTTGTTCTTTGAAAGTCTTGTTTCTTTTGTGCCTTTTTCTGCAGCGAATTTTTCATTTACTACGTTAGAATTTTTAACTGTTTTCCATTCTAACAATCGCCTAAATTCTTTAGCCACTGAGCAGCTATCATAGTATTCTTATAATCCGGTAGGTTGTGTTTGGTGGATTGTTGCTCTACTTCTCCCGTACAGAATTGTCATATGAGGCCACAACAGGATTTCCATAGCTTCACCACCCTTAAAGAGCTATAAATGGCAGAGCTTCCAAATCTTATTTCTCTTTCAGATGGTTTTCTCTCCATCCTCAACAAAGATGAAAGTAGCAAATGTAATGCCTGACATCCTTACATGAGGTGTTGAAACACAAAATTTCACGCAATCAGTACTTAATCTGATGTTCATTGTCAAAGGCGAATTTCCTTCATCTCTAAGACCCTCTTGGTAGAAAAGTGTTAAAATTTTATGCGTATTTGGGATAAGAGGAGAATGAAGCTGCCTGCCTCTTTAATTAAATCAATAATTTTTAGATTTCAGAACCTGAAACATCTATCTCATTAGGGTTTATCAAAATCTCACCTCTCTTGAAGAGTTGTCTATATTACTATTATGTTTATATTGCAATTGTAAGTTATTAATCATCCCTAAACTTCTTGTGAAAACACAGGCTAATGACAAAGCCCGCCTCATTGGACATAAAAATGTAACTTTTCATTCATCTTGATGCATACATATCCGTCGAAACACTTCATAAATTTGTCTTTTTTATATTGTTGTTATTATTATACTATTGGTGTAAACCTTTTAAGAGTTTTTACATTTGGACATTTTATCATATGGGTTTTTTTTCGTTGCCCCTTGAGAGATGAGAAAGTTCATTCACCCCCAAGTTTTGAGAAAGTATAGGAAAAACCCCCTGAAACCCAATTCTGGGTAAGACATTGGGGCCGAATGAGACTTCATTATCTCTTAGGGGGTGAGATAAAACCTCTTCGCAAAAATCAATTCTTTGTCTTTCATAAACCATCAAGTTCTGCCTTTACAATTTTTTTTTTTTTTTTTAAAGGAATTGGGTAACATGTATTTAAATTTTAGAACGTACAGCACAAGAAATAAAAAAAAATGAAGCATATTTTTTTCAAGTTATGTATTTTATAATGTTAATTATTGTTGGTTAATTTTAGGATAAATATCGTGGGAGACAAGTGAAATTCTTATGTATTAATAATCATTTTTTTTTTTTAATATTATACAGTTAACTGGGTTAAGATTTTACAATTTCATAATACCAATAACAGTGATGAACCTAAAAATTTATGCTGAGAAGATACAGTAACAATTTTAATATTTAAATAACATTGCATATAATATAGTTATTTGTTTATTAATGCTATCAAAATAAACAATTTTCCCAATTATAAGGTATACAACTAAATGATCAATACACAAACTATATAAGGTATAGCATTCAAAAATCAATTCCCAATTATAACACAAGTTCACTATGGGTTCCATTAAATTGGATCTATTTTACATTAAATGTGAATATGCATTACATATCAATCGTAAATTCGACATTAGAGATTGTTGAGTGCTATTGTAATATGTTTTAAATCTTAATCATCTTTGTGTTACTTTAAAACAACTTAGATAATTATATTTCATGTTTTATATAATGTTTTCACAAATAATTTAGATTTAAGTAATTCAATTAATACATGGAGAAGAAAACGATGTCCAATTAGGGTCTAATATGGATTAATAAAAAATTCTTTCATTTTTTTTTTATAATGTTTTTCTATATAATTTAGAATTGAGTAATTCAATTAATACATTAGAAGAAAATGATGTCTAATTACGATCTAATTTGGCTTAATTAAAATTTTTCAATTAATACGAAAATGATGTCTAATTACGTCTAATTCTATAATAATTAGCCAATTTCATTTTATTCTATCTTTTTCTTTAGTAATTAGCCAAACAATTATCTATTGTTTAATTACTAAATTTTTTCCCCGATAAAAAATTGGCCAATAGAACTAATCATATTTGCATCATCCTCAATCTTTTGATTATATTTCATTAAACAAAAATGCTGCAGACACCAGGACTCCACACTGAATTCTTACACCGAATTACCTGTCTCGTGACTCACACTAGCCACGTTGCATCGTTCACAAATATTTTGCTAGTGAACAGTTATTCATCAACTATGAACGACCGTTCACTTACGATGGACTCCCGTCCATATTATATGGACGGGATCCATTTACTATAGACGGGGACGCCCATTCATCAGTAAATGAAAAAAACAATATAAACAAAAATAATGGACTACCATTCATAGGTTATGGACAACCATCCCTAAATAAAGGACGGGCGTCCACATATAATGGATGTCCGTCCAATCTTTAAATAATAATTTTTTTATAAAAAAAAAATTAATTGACAGGTGTTCATATGTTAATGGACGTCTGTCCATTATTAATGTATTTTGGTGTTTCTTTTGCTTTCTTTGCTTTAAGGCTTCTGTCAAGTTCTGATAAGGAAGATGACAAATGGTCTGAGTTGCATGATAAAATGCTCCAAGGAAGTGCTCAACTGTTGGATTTGCTTATGTGGAGAGTCTAGAAAGAAGGGGCTGTTGGGGACAAATGTGAGGTTCCGCATAAGCTTGAGATGGCTGAGAAAGAGATTGCAGAGTTGAGGAAGTTGAGAAGCGAAGACGCTAAAGCTAATGAGAAGGTTGTTAGCATCTTTGCAACGCAAGAGCAGACGTGGTTTAATGAGAGGAAGAAGCTCCAGCAACATATTGGAGCTCTTATTAATGAATTGAGGGTGTTTGAGGAAAAGAAAGATGAAGCTGTTTCGGGGTTTGAATGAAAGATTGAAGGAAACTGAGATTTTGGTGGTGTCGAAGGATAAGATATTGGAGGAAGAGGAACATAAAAGGAAGGAGGTTGAAGAGTAGCTAACAAAAGCAGAAAGTATTGTAGAAGAATTGAGAGAAGCTGCAAAGCAAGAAGTGTAAATGATTGGAAAATATGAAGAAATGGAAAAGGCTCAAAGAGAATGGGAAGGGAGGTTTAGAGAAAATAACAACAGTACACCGGTATGCTTTTTTAGAACCTATGTGATTTTTAGCCAGTTAAATGCTCTCTCTTTAACTGATAACAAACAACCGTTTGCTGTGTGTTAAAACTTAAAAAAGAAAGAAAGAAGAAGATGTGCTTTTTGGAAGGCCGTCCATATAATTTGGATGGCCGTCCATATTAACTAGACGTCAGTTCATAGAATTTGGATGGGAGTCCATTGTTTTTTATTTTTTTTTTTAAATACTTTTATGGACTCTCGTCCATTCCACTATGAACGACCATTCAAGAAGTATGGACGGTCGTCCGAAACTGTTGGATGGCCATCCATTTACGTCAGTGTTCTATGGTCCAATGTGGCAACGTCCACGTATTTTGGTGCAATTGTTCGGTACCAAATTTTCGGTGGATATAGCATTTTTGTTCATTAAATAGTAGCAAATATTACTTAAAAACATTATTAATCTGAATAATTGAAACCTTCACTCTTTAGTATAAACTCTAAACGTCATGCATATACTATGGGCAAGGGCCTGAACTTAAATGTAGTTCATAGACCGACTGTGCTTTAATTTTTGGTTCTTACTAATAATAGATGATATAGATTATGCCAATCTGATAAAGTGACACACAAGATTGAAAAAACACAGAAAAATACTATCTTTTACAAATTGATTAAAAGACATAATTATCTATCTTTAAAGAAATTAAATAAAAAAAAAAAATAGGTAGTGTCACAAGAATCTAATGTTCGTAAAGCTTCTTTTAAAAGTTAAAACCGATTAAGTTTGAAACTGATTATACAATAATCAAATTTATAAAAAGATTCCAAAAGCTAGGATGGGTAGCTTTTAAAAATCTGATTATTTCTAAAGCTGATTTTACATTATATATAATACCTCAAATTACAAAATTAATTTAAATAAACATTTAATTCATAAATTAATTATAAATTAAAAAAAATTGAAATGTCAATGGTTTTTGGCACCACCGTTGACCGGCAATCAACTGACGATCAACGTCAATCAATGGTGGCAAATTAGCACCACATCCAGTCCCATAGGATTGAAAGTAGTTGATCTATAGAAATACGCTAAATTCAGCTAGAGAAGATGGTAGAATCTTTCACCACCTTTTGCAGCTCCAATCAACTTTAGAATCTAGTCACTCAATCGGGTTCCTGTGGAACGGGACATTCTAGTCCTAGTAGAACCAATGGTGGTGCCAACGTGCCACCATTGACTAGCGTTGACCATCAGTCAACAGTGGTTGACTGTCATTAATTGGCACTCAATGATAGGCATTTATTACAAAGGCTTAAAAATATCGTGCTTCATAATTTAACTACTTTATTATCTTTATTTTTTCTAACAATATTCAGCTATTGTATAACATGTAGGCATTGTTGCTATATCGAACAACCCTTAGGCACGACCAGCACCTATTCATTGATTTTGATTGGCTCCAAAGGTTATAATGCAAAGATGATCGAAAGTTTATTGGAACTATTTATAACCATATGGAACTTGTTGATGAGTGGACATTAAAAACTACTTGCTTATTCATTGATTTTGATGTGTGCTTGAGCTGGTTTTTTAAGTTAAAAATAAAAATGGTTGAGACAGAAATTCAATTTCTGGTCCACCTTTTCATTTTCACAGGATAAAATGAGTTTTATTCAAGTTTTGATTGATTATGGTTGGTTACACCATTCCACCAATGATTGAGAAGACTTGTATTTTACAATATTTCTTGTGTCTTTTGTTGAAAGAGGATAATGCATTATTAACTTTATTTTCATTAATAAATATTAAAATTATTTTTATAATTTTATTAAAGTTAAATTAATTTAATAAATAATAATAATGTTAGAACTCAAGCCAAGCGACAGTTTAATCCAAAAGATGATTTGATAGGTGAAAAAGCCCATTGGACTGAATTAGATGATCTATCGAAATCTAATGAAATAACCAATGTAAGGCTAAATTCGTTAAAGAAGACGAAAGAATCTTTCACAGCCTTCTGCAACTCTAATCAGCTTGCAATTATTTTTTCAACCAGGTTCTGTGGATCGAGACATTCTAGTCCTGATAGAACCAGCGGTGGTGTCAACATGCCACCATTGACTAGCGTTGACCATCAGTCAACATTGGTTGACCGTCATTAATCAACACTCAACGATAGGCTTTATTACAAAGGATTAAAAATGTCGTGCTTCTTAATTGAACTGCTTTATTATCTTTATTTTTGAACAATATTCAATTATTGTATAACATGTGGGGATTGTTGCTATAGACTCAGAAGATACCAAAAAAAAAAAAAAAAAAAAAAAACTATCAATTAAGTTATGGCAAAAGCTCAAGCCAAGACCGGAAGAGTAGAAGCTGCTATAAAATGATTTTCAAGTAAAGAAGAGTGGTTTGGGTTACACTCATAAACTCTTCTTACTAACTTTCTTTCACAAATGCGATGTGTCAGCTGTAATTGTCAGCTCACAATGGGTTCCGTCTAACCAATTGCAAGTTGCATGTCAGTGTTTGAAAGAAAGTTGTGAGATCGTAGATGGCGTGCTCAGATCTCAAACCCGCGTCAGAGTTCTCTGATCGCATGGCCAGATCGTAGATCGCACGCGTTAGAATTCTTCGATCGCGCATCAGAATTCTTCAATCGCGTGGCCAGATCGCAGATCGCACGCATCAGAGTTCTCCGATTGCTGGCCAGATCACAGATCGCCACGCCATGCCATCCTGATCCTCAGCTTCAGATCGTAGATCTTTAGCTTAAATCGCGTTGTCAGATCGCTGATCTCTGTGCTCTTAGGTAGCTCGTATGATCTCTCAGGTCGAGGTCGTTTTGCTCATTGAGCTCATTTTGACCTCTCAAGTTGAGGTCGTTTTGCTCATTCAGGTCGTTTTGACCTCTCAGGTCGAGGAGAGTCGTTTTGACCTCTAAAATTGAGGTCGTTTTGCTTTTTGAGCTCGTTTTGACCTCAAGTTGAGGTCGTTTTGCTCATTTAGGTCATTTTGACCTCTAAAATTGAGGTCGTTTGCTTTTTGAGCTCGTTTTGACCTCTTAGGTCGAGGTCGTTTTGCTCATTGAGCTCGTTTTGACCTCTAAAATTGAGGTCTTTGCTCATTAAGCTCGTTTTGACCTCTCAAGTTGAGGTCGTTTTGCTCATTCAGGTCGTTTTGACCTCTCAGGTCGAGGAGAGGTCGTTTTGACCTCTAAAATTGAGGTCGTTTTGCTTTTTGAGCTCGTTCTAACCTCGCAAGTCGAGGTCATTTTGCTCATTGAGCTCGTTTTGACCTCTAAAATTGAGGTCGTTTTGCTTATTGAGCTCGTTTTGACCTCTCAAGTTGAGGTCGTTTTGCTCATTCATGTTGTTTTGACCTCTCAGGTCGAGGAGAGGTCGTTTTGACCTCTAAAATTGAGGTCGTTTTGCTTTTTGAGCTCGTTTTGACCTCTCAGGTCGAGGTTGTTTTGCTCATTGAGCTCGTTTTGACCTCTCAAGTTGAGGTCGTTTTGCTCATTCAGGTCGTTTTGACCTCTAAAATTAAGGTCGTTTTGCTCATTGAGCTCGTTTTGACCTCTCAGGTCGAGGTCGTTTTGTTCTCAAGTTGAGCTCGTTTTGATCTCTAGAATTGAGGTCGTTTTGCTTTTTGAGCTCGTTTTGACCTCTCAGGTCGAGGTCGCTTTTGCTCTCAAGTTGAGCTAGTTTTGCTTAGATTGAGCTCGTTATGACCTTTCAGGTTGTTCTCCTACCAGATTTCAGGTCGTTTTCCTAACAGATTTCAGGTCGAGCTCCTAACAAATTTCTGGTCGCTCCTAACAGATTTCAGTTCGAGCTCTTAACAGATTTCTGGTCGCTCCTAACAGATTTCTGGTCGATTCTAATAGATTTCTGGTCGTTTTCCTAACAGATTTCTGGTCGCTCCTAACAAATTTAAATTCAGAGACAAAATCCAAATGTTAGATTGAAAGGTTTCCAAAGATCTTGGTGTAGTCTTGAAGTGTGTCTTAAACAACTAAAGTTCCTTGTTACAATCGCTCATTGAATCAAATTGACGTGTAAAATCATCTTAAGCTGTAGGAGTCTCAGTAAAATGGGCCCAAACATCGAAGATTTGAAAGAACACAGCTCACATGACATGAAATCGAACTTTGCATTTGTACATTGCACTGACCACTTAAATTGCTTCTGGTACACGAGTAATTGACCATTTCAAACGACAATCAGTCGTTAAGCTTTGTATTTAACGGCCACAAAAGTAAGGTGAGTGATACTATCTACAGCAATGGCTTCTCCAAAATTGCTTTTCATCTCGTGTTCCATTGTTATATACCTTTTTTCTCTCACCAGTGCCCAGGATGAACTGCTGAAGAACATCTGTTTATATGAGAAGGGAAACTTCACCGCAAATAGTAATTACCAGGCAAACCTCAATCACCTCCTCTCCTCTCTCACTTCTAACAATGAAATCGACTATGGTTTCTACAACGCCTCGTATGGCCGAAACACTGACAAAGTTAACGCAATGGCACTCTGTAGAGGAGATGTTAAGCCGGATACCTGCCGTAGTTGCATCCAAAATTCATCTCTTCAGCTCACAAAAAGTTGTCCCACCCAGAAAGAAGCCGTTGTATGGTACGACGATTGTATGTTAAGGTACTCAAATCGTTCCTTCTTTGGTAATATGGAATCCGGGCCTTATGCTTGGGCGTATAATCTAAATAATGTGTCGGAAGTCAGTCAATTCCGCGAAGTCTTGGGAAAGTTGTTAAATAACTTGACAAAAAAAGCAGCCTCTGGTGGTCCTCTTCGTAAGTTTGCAACAGGAAATTCAACTACGCCAAGCTCTCAGTCCATATATGCACTTATGCAGTGTACTCCTGACTTGTCCGAGCAGGAATGTGTTGAATGCCTAAATAATGTGACTTCATTGATTCCGAAATGTTGTGATGGAAGACAAGGAGGGAGAGTTATTGCACCTAGTTGTAATTTTAGGTACGAGAAAGGTATTTTCTATGACTCTACAGTTTATGTGGCAACACCCTCACCATCATCGCCGACTAATTCTGCAACACACAGAGGTATATTTCATGCTTGATGCATCACAAAAATGAGATCTACCTTGTTCTATATTTAAAATCGATCTTTATAAGTGTTAACTTGTTTTGCATCAATACGCCTTGCGAAAAAATATTCTTTACAGAATGACAACCAAGATCTTGTTTAATTGCAAATAGAGATTTGAGGAAGCCATAAATAATTTTTTATGCATTCATCTATCTAATAGAAAGTAGTTTGAACTAATATTGCTTTACTTGCTAATCAAATTGTACTAGTGGTATTCGCAGGAAGGGAGAGCAGCCTGTCTCGAACAGTTGTCCACATTGCAGTTCCATTGTTGATTTGCAATATTTGTCTTCTACTTCAGCACTTTTTTAGAGTAAACAAAGCTGTATCAGTTTCATTCACCATTTATGCAGAACGTTGTGTTGTATTGTTACATTAGAGAAAATATATATTTAAATAAGACGAAATATTGATGTAGCAATATTTTTTATGAACAGAACAAAAATCCTTGCAGTCATTACAATTTACATAAAACAATGCCCATCCGTTTATTAATTATATTCGAAAAAATAAATAGCTGAGTTTCTTGAGTCATGCGTATGCTAGAACAAGGGCGAAACCAGGAATTTACTTCGGGGAGGGTTGAAATTTTTTTCAAAATAATACTTAATAACATATGAAAAAAAATTATTAATAGGAACAAACTATACACTAACCAAGGGGGACATAATGAGCTTTAATCCTTTGAAATTTGTTTTATCATCTAAAAAATCTCTAATTATATGATAATAAAGTAAAGGAAAATCCAAGGTAAATTGAAGTTGTGTTTTACAATGCTTTAAAGAGTAAAAATAATCAATTACTGAATCCAGATCAATATTCTAAGCAAATTTTCTTTCAATATAGACAATCACGCAACCAGTAGAATTCACCTTTCATATTGAGTTTTGTTGAAAGAATTAGCACAAATACAAATCCCAATATTCAAACCAAGTTTTATAGTATAAACTATTATAATTTAGTATATTTGTTTTCCCAAAAATCATCCTATTCCTAATTTTTTAAGAAAAATTTGACTCGGGCTGTAGCCGAATCAGCCTGGCTTTGGTTCTCATGGGTGATAGGGTTTTTTCAGATAACAATGCACAAATGTAATAGGTAATTTTCCTACAACTCAAACATAAGATCTTCTGAGTATAAATAATCTCAGTGACTAAAGGGTTTGTCATCCGAGTACAAATGAAGGTTATAAGTTTTTTTTTTTTAAATAATTATAACATAAATTTTGATAATTTCTTGAAAAAAACTTGACTGCCTTCAAATTAAACGATTTTATAAGGCACTAGAAAGAAAAGGTCTCTTACAATAGGATATATGGTGTCACAGAAAGGAATTAATTTACCACAACTTTGCAGTAATTTTCAGCATGCTACAACTAATTAAAGGAAAGTGAACATCTGCAACTAATAAAATATCCAATATAAGTATGTATAATTTGTCTTAAAAAGAAATTATACAAACCTTGGAGGAGGCACTATATAGACCTGCCCCTCTCTAGTTTAGTACCACTAAAATATGTTATTTTATACTTATTTTTATTAATTTTTAATTAATTAACAATGTAATAGGCATAATTATCGGATTATTTATCTATTTTTATTATAAATAAAAATAACAAAAAAATATAAAATCAATTATTATCATAAATGAATAATATACATATATATATTAATTAATTTAATGTAATAGATTATTTATATATTTAACAATTTAGAATTATGTATACAACAACGTTATTTAAAGTTGGCTATTAGTAAAATTTGAATTTGTTAATTATGTAAAGTACTTTTATTCAGTTAACTGTTATACCAAACATAATATAGCAATATTTTTATTCACTGCTGACATTTTCACTAATTTATAGGGATGGCAACAGGCTGAGGGCCATCCCCAAAAAAATTAGGCAACCCTATCCTCAGCCCATTCTCCAATTTTATTAAACAGGGATCACCGGAGATTCCGCAAAAATAAAGACAATTTCAGGAAAATATTGACAATTTCTGGAAAATAAAGACTTGGTTTGGAGTTTGGACTAACATCATGACTAATATTGACCAGACTTTTATCTCCTAATCAGTGTGGAAATTTGACTGATAATGAACAATTGAATTAGTCAAAATCGGCTCCCCGGAAATTACTTCTTCTGGATAAAATACATTATTGCAATTTTTTTTAAAATTTATATTCAATTAGTACGTAAGTTCTTACTTAATTAGAATGTGGAAAATGGAGTTTAATTGACTTGAACCTCGGATCGTTAGATTGATTTGTATCAATAGGATCAGTATACGAATTATAAGCAACAGTAATTAATAATAAATAATGTTAATTATGATTATTAATGGCCCCTAATTATATTTACATTAATTATTAGATAACTTAATTACGATTTATTGCTTCAATATACACCTTGAATGTTTGAAAAATTAAATGTATGGCTCCAAATATGGCATGGGTGTGCTTTAATATGCACCCTAAATATTTGCATTATAATTAAACCAGAGGAACCCTTTTTGTAATTGTGCTAAACATATATGACATGGGCTTATAGCTTACCCAAAACGGTTTCAATCATTTAACAAAGGTCGAAATATATTTTCTCACCCTAAGTTCAACGAATCAAAATTAGTACCCTTGGTTTTGAAAACTATCAATGTTTCACCCTCTACGAGTAAGTTGACTTGTTTTGACCATTAAAATGTCACTTTTACCTTAAGTTATAATTGCAATAACACAAAATTTTGATGTAGATTTGGAGCCAAAATATATAGCCTTTGATTCAATATAATCCAACGGATTTAGATGAAAAGTTAGAGTTAATTATTTTTTAATCCCAACTAACAAATTTTAAACCACTAGATTGTCATGAATCAATAATCATGAATTTGTATCACAAATCTGCGTCAAAAATTTGTGTGATAATAGCTTAACCCAAAAATAAATATATATAAAACTATGTACACCTTCACTTCCTTAGTTTTCAACAAGTTTGTGGAATTATATTTCGAAATTATCTATTTTTTCTCTCTATTTTTTTATTTTTTTAAATTTTGGGTCAAAATTGGAGGTTGGACGTGTTCTGTTTATACCATTATAATTATCCGCTTAGTGAATGCTAACCAACTTGAGTTGAGAGAAGTTTGCTTAACCAACCTGAGTTGGGAGAAGTTTACTCGACCAACCTGAGTTGAGAGAAATATGGATGTTCGCTCGACCCACTTGAGTGGGGAGGTTGAGTATCCTGGAGAGTAAACAGACATGTCATAAAGTCTGGCTAAAAGTAGTACCATTTGAGATGGATTGTATTTCAACTGTTGTTGATGTTCTTGTCTTTGGGGTTTGGAGTCTGTAGGCTCCATTTCCTACTTCCTTGGTGATCTTGTAGGGAAGCTCTCCACTCAAGTGGAGTTTTGGCTTAAAATCAATATCTTGTAATCATTTTTTGCATACGTTTCGTGGCTTATTTGACCAACACCAAACTCCTACTGATGGAATGGGAACTAATGAACGTGACACAAGCACAGCACTAGTTCCTCTTGGGCATAGTAATCGTACTTTACCAAGTGCAGCCCAGTAACATCCCAGTTGACTCAGCACTTGTATCATGACACTCTTCAAAAGAAATTGGAAAGAATATGCAGAGATAAAGACAAAACCATGAAGATCCATGAAGAAACTAAGCTTCGGTTGATATCTGATTATGAGCGAGAGATTGAAGAGGCTGTCACTCAAATTCGTAGGAAGTTCGAGATTAAGCTCAAGGAAATTGAGGCAGAATTTCAGACATCTTGCACAGCTATCATCACAACAATCTGCTGCTCAAAGGCTGCCTGTTTTGGGTGGGTCTTCTTTATCTGGCTCATTGGCAACTTCTTCGACATCTACTTATACAACTCTCTCCACCCTTCTTCTTCTTCACCTATAAATTCTCCCTCCCCCTCTCTCTTCCCATGCACTCTCCCTCTCTATTTTATTTATACCAACGCCAGCCCTCCTCCAAACGCCAGCACTCTCCCTCTCTCTTGTCCATCTCACAACAATCAGAATAGGAGAATGCAAGTTAATGGCAGAGGTAATAGTGACCGAGGTAGAGACGACGGAAAAGGAGATTGTTTTCAGCCAATTGAAAATTCTGGAGCTTCATTGTTTACTGAAGCCGCACAAGCTTCTACTCGGCCAATTATGCTTTCGAATTCCCATGCTTAGAACAAGTAATTGTGAGTCAATGCCCGAATTTGAAGATCTTTTCTCAAGGAAGCTTAAACACACCAAAACTAAATAGGGTACAACTAACAAAGAAGATGGACGAAGAATATTTGTGGAACAATGACCTTAATTCCACTATCCATAAGATGTTTACAAATATGGTACTTTCTCATTCCAAATCTTTTTATTTTCTTTTGCATTGTTGCTACTAATATGATTATATTTATGCCAATCATCACTAATATTTTTTATTGTCACTTTTTTAATTTAAAAATGAGTAAGAATGCAACGATAGTACCAAAATCATGAGTGCGAGAGTTATTACTTAGATAACAAGGCTGTTAATTTCTCAAACTCCTGTTCTTGTAACTATCCATGATCCAAGCCTCCACAACTACTGTAATAAAAAAATTTGTAACTGTAGGACTCCATATATCTCAAATCATATATATACTAAGTTGATATCGAAAAATTATTTTTAACGAATGAGTTTTCATATTTCATAATCCAACAACTGATTCAATATTGTATTCAGAACACAATTTCTTGAGAATAAAAAATTCTAGTTTTCTATTCTAGATCTTACTTGATTGGGTCCAAAGGTTGTAATGTAAGGTTAAAAGTATTAGACTACTTATAGCTAAACAATATATATAAAACCTAACCAAATTAGAAAATAAAAACTAAGAAACAAAACCATATATGTTGTTTTTTTCTCGCGAAAAATTGTGAATATAAAGATTTTTTTTTTTTTTTTATTCTGTGCCATTTCTACCTTATGCGGTTATTATTTTCAGCATATTATATATAAATAAATAGTGCATCTTTTCTTTTCTTCCTGTCCGTGAAGTTCCTTTTGCATTTGTTATTGTTATATAATTCTAATTGAACATATGTGTATATAGAAGTGGATATAATTTTTCATGTCTTTTAAAGAGTGAAAATTATTGATAAATTGTCCACGTGTTTTGTGTACAAGTTTTTGGCGATTTTAATTATTCGGTACATTAACATCATTATTTTATATTGGAAAGTGTGTTATCTTTTTTTGTTTTGTTAAAAAAGCCATTAATATGACAAAAAATTGTCTTCTCTTGTCCTTGGCATTATTTGTCCTTAAAACTCATCTGCATTACCCCATAGTCAGTGTTTTATAACAAAGAACAATAGTACAAGGATGAAACCTTTTGTTAAGAATATGAAATTTGTATTAATGATCAGCAACTCCCCATGGATGTGAACTAATATTGCTATGCTTGAAATTCCTTTTTTTTTTTAATTGTTTTCGCCACTTGTAACAGATTTTAACCAAATATTTTGTGTTTTATAGGTTGGTTTCCGCAACTTTGAACATCTAAAACTCTCTGAATTCCCTACATTAGAAGAAAGATTTTGGAACACAAAAGTTCCTGCCAGCTCATTCTACAGTTTAAAGTTTTTGGTTTTGGACATGTGCTTGGACACATCAATTGCTATTCCATTCAATGTGTTGTGCAACTTAAAAAATCTTGAAACATTGGAAATAAGAAGTTGTGATTCACTAAAAGAGGTGTTTGATACGCAAGGACAACTAAATGCTGATGGACATACATTGAAGGAAAGTCATCAAGAAGTTTTGGACTTCAAGAACCTGAAATCCTGTAAAGTTCACAATTGTTGTAACTTGAGACGTATATTTACTCCGTCTATCATTTTGGGTCTTGTTCAACTTCAAGAAATAGAAGTTAAAAACTGTGCTTTAATGGAAGAAATCATCTTGAAAGAAGAAGAAAAGGAAGCAGACATTGAGAAAATTATGATACCCCAATTGAACTCCATTATTCTTGAGTCATTGCCTAACTTAACAAGCTTCTATTCAGGAATGAAGACTTTGGAATGTCCTGCCTTGAAAGCTATTATAGTAGTCGAGTGTCTACAGATTGAGACATTTGTTTTCACTTATACGAAGCACCAATCTGACCATGTTGCGCCCCTTTTCAGTGAAAAGGTTTGTATGTTTGAAACTTCAATGCATGCATTTTTTTTTTTCTAGATTATATTACCTTTTTAATTTTATTATCCTTTGTAGCTATCTATGTTATTATCATTATCTACAATTATTAAAAATTTGCTTGTTTTGCATGGCTGACGGTAATACACTTTTAATTTAGCTACGTGGTTTCTAAGAAGACAAAATACTTTAGTTATATTTTGGTTTGCCTAGTCACCTCATTAAAATTATTATTATTATCAATATAATTTTGGAAGCTTACCCCCAAATGCTTGTTGCAGGTTGCTTTTCCAAATTTGGAGGCGATACTATTGTTACATTTGGATAATTTGAAGTTGATGTGGCACAACCAACTCCATGCAAATTCCTTTTGCAAACTAAAACACATGACAGTCAAATTTTGTGAAAAATTAATGACTATTGTTCCAGCTAATAATAGTCAAGGACTTCTTACTTTTCACAATCTAGAAACATTAACTGTTGAAAGCTGTTGGAAGATGAAAAGTCTGTTTCCAATTTCCATAGCTACTGATCTCATGCAACTTAAAGAGCTTAAGATAGGGTTATGTGGGCTGGAGGAAATTGTTACCATGGAGGAAGTGGATGGGAACCCTAGATTTTTGTTTCCCCAATTAACCTTCTTAATCAGTTACCAGAACTCAAACATTTCTACTTGGGTTTACAAACAATAGAGTGGCCAATGCTAAAACAGTTGGTGGTGAATGATTGTGAAAAGATTGAAATATTTGCTTCAAAATATCTTAAGGTTCAAAATACAGATGAAGAGACTCAACCTTCCCTTGATTTGTCTGAAAAGGTACGAATTTATCTATACTATTTTTATAAAATGTAACACAATCACTTAGATTAATATGACATGTTCACGATACAAATTCTGTGGCCTTGCTGATAATTATTTCCATATTCCTTTAATAGACATCTTACAATTGAGGTGATATATATAAGTCATCGAGTGAAGTTTTTTTCCTTCTGAAACCGAATGGCAGTAAACTAATTGGTTGGTCTTGTTTCATCTGTTAGATATTATTGATTTTGTACTGATTACAAGTTTCTTTTTCCAAATTTGTTTCTTCCTTCGCCTTATTACGTCTCCGTTTTACATCAATATAATACAATTAGTTTTTTTTTTAACAAAAAAATTTGATCACATGATTTTGCTTGCTTATCGTTTTCTTAAAAATTAATCAATGGAACTGACTTCTTGTTGGTCAATAATATGACACTGATACCATATGTAAAAATCTTATTATCTGTGTTTACCATTTGGTCATTAAAACCTTCTTGTTTGTTCATTCATTTTGAATTATAGGTCATGCCCAATTTGGAATCATTGGGTTTAAATGTCGATTGCGTTAGACTAACAAGCCACGACCATGTACCATATAATATCAATATATGCTATCTTTACTACTACTGAATTGGAGCAGATTAGATATGATAGTATAATTTATAATAATATTCCATATTTTGTGTTTAATTAGACTAAATAGGTTTGTATATATAGACTAAATAGTAATGTTACAGTTAGCAAAAGAAACGCACTGAATTCATCATCGAATAATGTGACACAATTCTGATCATTGATTAATATTAATTTATAATTAATCGACGATTATGATTGTGCCATATTATTCGATACACGAATTCGGTGTGCTCTTTTTGGTAACTGCATTATTTTCTTAGACTAAAAAGTTTGAACACTGTTAAATTGATATGGATAATAATATATAAATATATTAATTAAGAGATTTTATAAATATTTATCTCTATGATAGTAAATTTATTATAATTAAATCCAATTCCCTTTAATAAATATGTGTTAAATTAAATAAAATCAACCCTGTATCTTTATACGCTAAAAGCCGCCACTTTCATCTTGTTCAAGTCTCCCCTGTTACAGTCAACGGAAGCCAGCTCAAGCGGCACTGGTGTTTCTAGCAAATGATGTCACAAGCCACAGAGCCACCGTCGGCGGCGGCACTGATTCTAGCACTCTCCGTCACAAGCGGCAGGTAATCAAAATCATTCTGCTCGACTTTTAAACTATATTTTAAGAGTAAATGCTTTGTATAATTGTGATTTGATATTTGTGTTTTATAACTGAAGCTTCGCTTAGTTGTGACTTTGATAATTATTTTTAAACTGAAGCTTCAGTTTGATGTTTGATATTTTTGTATAAAAGACCTGTAGATTTTTTGATTGATGAAGTTAAGTGATGTTGCAGAGTTGTTTGATAAAATGTTTGAAAGAGATGCATTTTTTTTTTTTCAAAATAATGCTACATGGAAGATTTCTTAATTAGATTCATATAAACAAGACATGAATTGAATTTATTTAATAAAACAGATTATTTCTTTGTACTCCAACACAGAATTGATCTTCGATTTCATTTTATTTATAACAAAAGCGTGTCCATCTCACACAATCAGAATAGGATAATGCAAGTTAATGGCAGAGTTAATAGTGACCGAGGTAGAGACGACGGAAAGGAGATTGTTTTCAGCCAATTGAAAATTCTGGAGCTTCATTGTTTACTGAAGCGCACAAGCTTCTACTCGGCCAATTATGCTTTCGAATTCCCATGCTTAGAACAAGTAATTGTGAGTCAATGCCCGATTGAAGATCTTTTCTCAAGGAAGCTTAAACACACCAAACTAAATAGGATACAACTAACAAAGAAGATTGACGAAGAATATTTGTGGAACAATGACCTTAATTCCACTATCCATAAGATGTTTACAAATTGGTACTTACTCATTCCAAATCTTTTTATTTCTTTTGCATTGTTGCTACTATATAGATATATATATGCCAATCATCCTAATATTTTTTATTGTCACTTTTTTATTTAAAAATGAGTAAGAATGCAACGACAGTGCCAAATCATGAGTCGAGAGTTATTTATTAGATAACAAGGCTGTTAATTTCTCAAACTCCTGTTCTTGTAACAATCCAGGATCCAAGCCTCCACAACTACTGTATAAAAAAAAAATTTAACTGTAACTCCATATATCTCAAATCATTATATAACCAAGTTGATATCGAAAAATTATTTTTAACGAATGAGATTTCATTTTCATAATCCAACAACTGATTCAATATTGTATTCAGAACACAATTTCTGAGAATAAATTTCTAGTTTTCTATTCTATCTTACTTGATTGGGTCCAAAGGTTGTAATGTAAGTTAAAAGTATTAGACTACTTATAGCTAAACAATATATATAAAACCTACTAATTAGAAAATAAAAACTAAGAAACAAAACCATATATGTTGTTTTTTTCTGTGAAAAATTGTGAAGATAAGATTTTTTTTTTTTTTTTTAATTCTGTGCCATTCTACTTATGCGGTTATTATTTCAGCATATTATATATAAATAAATAGTGCATCTTTTCTTTTCTTCCTGTCCGTGAAGTTCCTTTTGCTTTGTTATTGTTATATAATTCTAATTGAACATATTGTGATATAGAAGTGGATATAATTTTTCATGTTTTTAAGAGTAGAAAATTATTGATAAATTGTTCACGTGTTTTGTGTACAATTTTTTGGCGATTTTAATTATTCGGTACATTAACATCATTATTTTATATTGGAAAGTGTGTTATCTTTTTTGTTTTGTTAAAAAAAGACATTAATATGACAAAAGAATTGTCTTCTCTTGTCCTTGGCATTATTTGTCCTTAAAACTCATCTTAGAATTACCCATAGCAGTGTTTTATAACAAAGAACAATAGTACAAGGATGAAACCTTTTGTTAAGATATGAAATTGTATAATGATCAGCAACTCCCCATGGTGTGAATTAATATTGCTATGCTTGAAATTCCTTTTTTTTTTTAATTGTTTTGGCCACTTGTAACAGATTTTAACCAATATTTTGTGTTTTATAGGTTGGTTTCCGCAACTTTGAACATCTAAACTCTCTGATTCCCTACATTAGAAGAAAGATTTTGGAACACAAAAGTTCCTGCCAGCTCATTCTCCATTTTAATTTTTGGTTTTGGACATGTGCTTGGACACATCAATTGCTATTCATTCAATGTGTTGTGCAACTTAAAAATCTTGAAACATTGGAAATAAGAAGTTGTGATTCACTAAAAGAGGTGATTGATACGCAAGGACAACTAATGCTGATGGACATACATTGAAGAAAAGTCATCAAGAAGTTTGGGACTTCAAGAACTGAATCCTTTAAAGTTCATGTTTTGTAACTTGAGACGTATCTCACTCCGTCTATATTTGGGTCTTGTTCAATTTCGAGAAATAGAAGTTAAAAAACTGTGCTTTAATAGAAGAAATCTTGAAAGAAGAAGAAAATGAAGCAGACATTGAGAAAATTATGATACCCCAATTGAACTCCATTATTCTTGAGTCATTGCCAACTTAACAAGCTTCTATTCAGGAATGAAGACTTTGGAATGTCCTGCCTTGAAAGCTATTATCGTAGCCAACTGTCCACAGATTGAGACATTTGTTTTGCAGTAATTTTCAGCATGCTACAACTAATTAAAGGAAAGTGAGCATCTGCAACTAATAAAATATCCAATATAAGTGTGTATAATTTGTCTTAAAAATAAATTATACAAACCTTGGAGGAGGCACTATATAGACCTGCCCCACTCTATTTTAGTACCACTAAAATATGTTATTTTATACTTATTTTTATTAATTTTTAATTAATTAACAAAATAATAGGCATAATTATCGAATTATTTATCTATTTTTATTATAAATAAAAATAACAAAAAAATATAAAATCAATTATTATCATAAATGAATAATATAAATATATATATAAATTAATTTAATGAAATAGATTATTTATATATTTAACAATTTAGGATTATGTATACAACAACATTATTTAAAGTTGGCCATTAGTAAAATTTGAATTTGTTATTTATGTAAAGTACTTTTATTCAGTTAACTGTTATACCAAACATAATATAGCAATATTTATATTCACTGCTGACATTTTCACTAATTTATAGGGATGGCAACAGGCTGAGGGCCATCCCCAAAAAAATTAGGCCACCCTATCCTCAGCCCATTCTCCAATTTTATTAAACAGGGATCACCGGAGATTCCGCAAAAATAAAGACAATTTCAGGAAAATATTGACAATTTCTGGAAAATAAAGACTTGGTTTGGAGTTTGGACTAACATCATGACTAATATTGACCAGACTTTTATCTCCTAATCAGTGTGGAAATTTGACTGATAATGAACAATTGAATTAGTCAAAATCGGCTCCCCGGAAATTACTTCTTCTGGATAAAATACATTATTGCAATTTTTTTTAAAATTTATATTCAATTAGTACGTAAGTTCTTACTTAATTAGAATGTGGAAAATGGAGTTTAATTGACTTGAACCTCGGATCGTTAGATTGATTTGTATCAATAGGATCAGTATACGAATTATAAGCAACAGTAATTAATAATAAATAATGTTAATTATGATTATTAATGGCCCCTAATTATATTTACATTAATTATTAGATAACTTAATTACGATTTATTGCTTCAATATACACCCTGAATGTTTGAAAAATTAAATGTATGGCTCCAAATATGGCATGGGTGTGCTTTTAATATGCACCCTAAATGTTTGCAATATATATAATTAAACCAGAGGAACCCTTTTTATAATTGTGTAAAACATATATGACATGGGCTTATAGGTTACCAAAACGGTTTCAATCGTTTAACAAAGGTCGAAATATATTTTCTCACCCTAAAATTAGTGCCCTTGGTTTTGACTATAAACGTTTCACCCTCTATGAGTAAGTTGACTTGTTTTGACCACTAAATGTCACTTTGACCTTAAGTTATAATTGCAATAACACAAAATTTTGACGTAGATTTGGAGCCAAAATATATAACCTTTGATTCAATATAATCCAACCGATTTAAATGAAAAGTTAGAGTTAATTATTTTTTAATCCCAACTAACAATTTTTAAACCACTAGATCATCATGAATCAATAACATGAATTTGTATCACAAATCTATGTCAAAAATTTGTGTGATAATAGCTTAACCCAAAAATAAATAAATATATATATATATATATATATAAAACTATGTACGCCTTCACTTCCTTAGTTTTCAACAAGTTTGTGGAATTATATCTCTCTAATTCTTTTTTTAAAATTTTGGGTCAAAATTGGAGGTTGGACGTGCTCTGTTTATATCATTATAATTATCTGTTTAGTGAATGCTCGACCAACTTGAGTTGGGAGAAATATGGATGTTCGCTCTACCCACTTGAGTGAGGAGGTTGAGTATCCTGGAGAGTAAATAGACATATCATAGAGTCTGGCTAAAAGTAGTACCATTTGAGATGAATTGCATTCCAACTATTACTGATGTCCTTGCCTTCGGGGTTTAGAGTCTGTAAGCATTTTTTACAAACGTTTCATGGCTTATTTGACCAACACCAAACTCCTACTGATGGAATGGGAACTAATGAACGTGACACAAACACAGCACCAGTTCCTCTTGGACATAGTAATCGTACTTTACCAAGTGAAGCCCAGTAACATCCCAGTTGACTCAGCACTTGTATCATGAACCTCTTCAGAAGAAATTGGAAAGAATATGCAGAGATAAAGACAAAACCATGAAGATCCATGAAGAAACTAAGCTTTGGTTGAATTCTGATTATGAGCGAGAGATTGAAGAGGTTGTCACTCAAATTCGTAGGAAGTTCGCGATTAAGCTCAAGGAAATTGAGGTAGAATTTCAGACATCTTGCACAGCTATCATCACAACAAATCTGCTACTCAAAGGCTGGGTCTTCTTTATCTGGCTCATTGGCAACTTCTTCGGCACTACTTATACAACTCTCTCCACCCTTCTTCTTCTTCACCTATAAATTCTCCCTCCCCCTCTCTCTTCCCATGCACTCTCCCTCTCTATTTTATTTATACCAACGCCAGCCCTCCTCCAAACGCCAGCACTCTCCCTCTCTCTTGTCCATCTCACAACAATCAGAATAGGAGAATGCAA